ATTATATATAGATATATTTGTGTTGTCTGCAAGCTCTTAAAATGTCATAGCCTAAAATTTTGAAAACAATTTTCATTGCATTTTTTTTTTACCTGGAGTATTGCTTGTATGTGTGCTAATTCAAATTCTAAATATCCCAAAAAGCAAAAACAGATAATGTACAATGTCCACGGCCCATCAAATCCCAGTTGTTCAAGTGTACGTAGCCATGCTCCCTTGGTCAGCACATAAGCGTTTTATGACTTTATGGCCATGCGGTGCAGTGGCCGATCTACCTACACCTGCCGCCTAGACAAAGGGGTGTTCCTTGGAGACATTCACCATGTTATCTTTAGATGTGTAAGTCCACATTTGTACTATTTGTAAAGACTGACCTGATGTTGACAACAAAGGGCTTATAATTTTTTATTTCATTTTTCAAGACTGGTCAATGGGATCCTGATGCTGTGCGGAAGAGAGTGATTTTAGCACGTCTAATACACTACCCATCGGCGCTTAGTTTGATAGAAAATACAGAAAGAGTATAACACGGATAGGTTTAAAACAGAAGACTCCAAATCACGCATCTGTCGAACTGTGTCTGCGGTCCCATTTTTTCCCTTTCTTCTTTATCTTTGTAAGATATCCCTTGAACTACCGAGGCCGGTCCCGACGAACTCGAGTTATCCATGTTATACAGTATTTAAGGAAAAGATACCCCTGCATTGTAACATTATTTTGTAACATTATTTTTCAAACAAGTTCAGTCTCATCTGCCAGGTTTCTTCAGGGTGAGGGAAGTGTGGGGTTTTTCATCTTCTCCGTCAAAATTGACATGGAAACTCCTCAACTCTAGCAATGCCAACAGACAAAGGAAGAGTGATGAGAGGAAAAACATTTTCCCTCCCTGTCCCTCAACACAACACCCCCCCTTCTACCAATATCCATTTTCTCCTTTTTTCTTTCTCTCTCTCTCTTCTTGTGTGTGTTAAAGTGAAAGAGACATTGAGTGTGAGCGGGGGGGGGGGGGCTGCATGCGTATATGCGTGTGTGTGTGAGAGAGAGAGAGAGAGAGAGAGAGAGAGGGACAGAGAGAGAGAGACAGAGAGCGAGAGACAGAGAGAGAGAGACAGAGAGAGAGAGAGAGAATGAGTGTAGCTATGGCTAAGCATATGCAGTTCCAGCAGTAAGTGTGTACATAGTTTAAAAGAGAGTATGCAGCGGATGTTTCGAGCCTTCAAAAGGGAAATCATTTGTGAGGCATAGTAGTGAAATCAGACGCTCATCAAATAATGAAATCAAAGAAACTGACATTTTTCTGGCTGTTGGGCAATTTTATTTTATTTAATTTTTCTTCCGCTCAAAAACTTTTTTTAATGTATTAAATGTAAAAAACACATTTTATTTCTGTGTGGATTTTCTTCAAAACAACATTGATTTAAGGCAAAAAAATTTTAATTTTCAGTTTCCAAATACTCTCAAGCAATGGAAATCACCAAACTTTGGTCGCTATTTTCTCGTAAATTTTACAACTGAAACCAGGCTACCTCAACCTCCTTCAATTGCAAATATACCTTGACTTCTATTCAAGTTGGATGGGTGTTCTTTTTTTTGTTTTGTTTTTACCAAAAGCAAGGCAATGAACAGAGGTTAAGATAATACCCTACCAATAACTCTACAAATGCCCAAAAATTGACGGGCACCTGATTCCACCGCATCGTAACACATTTTTAACCAAAAATATTATTAATATTTCTTAGCTCCCTAATTAGCTCACCACAATGCGGTTTTGCTGGTAAAACTCATGAAACACCATTATATCTTCTCCAGTAGCATGCATAGTATCATCATAGTCAATGTCTCAAACAAACAACACTGAACGCAAAAAGAACAGTATGCTTGGTGGCTTAGTAAAGTACATTTCAACAGCCTCAAAAGGGGATTGACCGATGTACCAGCCACCAATCTCATTTTTTAAAGTAGAAAAATAGCCAACATAAAATATACAATGAACATATTTTCACGAGCAGATCACTTTTATTATAATCATTATATCATCAAAGAATACACAGCCTAAAACTTTACCTTTCTTTAGGTACCGGTTTTGACAATTTTTTTTTAATTTAAGAGAAAGTTTTTTTTTCTCTTTCCTGAAAAATTTGGCTTTCAGGGCTTTTGATATATTTGACCAGGAGCTTCCAGACGAAATGCGACAGTCAGTTTAAAGGTCCTGTGTCTATATTACCTAAATGAAATGTTCCGTTTTTAAAAACCATGAACACAACTGGTAAATAGTATTACACTGGGTCTCATGTACTTTTTACCAGCCTGCAATTTTGTCCAAATGCAACCTTCTTTCAAGTGGGACAGAAGGTTGGCAGAGTCTCTACTACGTCCAGCAAAATGCATATAACTAGACTAAACATGAAAAGATTCACGTTTGTTGTCCTATAAAAATTATAATAGACCGTAACAATGCAGGGCTTTCACTACAATTTGCAATTAGATCTAGACTCTACCAGTGTGAGTAACTAAAAGTCATGATTATTTTTATCTCCCATTTGGTGCAAAGTCCATGGCAGGATAACTTCAAGACACCCTGAAAGTCAAGCCATACACACACGATTTTAAATAATTTACCAAATTAAAAAAGACTTTTTTTTTTCAGTATCCATGATACTTTCATAATAGAACTAAGAAAGCTTTTAAGTACTGTAACTCAATTTCAAGTTGAATCTCATCCTAAACTACAGACGTGAATGCATTATCATTAAGATTAATCAAGAGGTGGCAGGTGGGACACAAAGTGGACTATCACCACCTTCGCCCAGTTGGACTTTAGCAGGGCCTAGCAGAATACATTAGCCAAAAAATATAATAATATATTTTAAAAGTAGGCCTTGATTCAAACTTCTGACAGTACTAGATCTAGAACGAAGAGTCATAAAAATGTAAAATTATGAATGTGCATCCACCGCTGGCGACTGACCTACATGCCACACAGTTTATCATGCGTGGAGTGATGATAAGGCCCGCGCCGATCAGGCCAAGGCCTACCCAACATATAAAAAACCTCAATGTCAAAGCAATCATTTCAACTTAGTCTATACCTGCATATCCAATCTCGAAATTCCTTCGTTCTCATGTACTTTAAGACAGCTGCCATTGTGCAAGAATCGACCTTGGGCCTTGGACTCTGGAAAAGATGACAGAAAATGACACTGGGTGGAAGGTCTTCTGAATAAGTCTTGCCAGAGCTCTCAAGATCTATCTAGTGGGCTGGGTTGTTGTAGCAGCAGCCAAGACAGCGAGCCGAGAGGAAGGAAGTAAGGAAGCGAAAAAAAAAAATTGGCAGCTCGTCATTTTAGCGTTTCGCTATAGTAGTGTTGTCAATAATGGGTCTACCAACTCTTCAATCTTCATTGCCTCTGAATGAATGACCTCAGGTCGTGTATGCTTAGGGCACGGCCTCTTTTACATTTTTATCAATTCACGGATACTTTTCATTCCGCTGGTTTTTATCTTTGTCAAAATGAACGTTCGACAGATGTTTTTCACGTTTGGCAACATCTGCAATGCCTTCACCAGAAATTTATCCTCCAGTGGCTCAAAGGGACTTTCTGAAATCGAAAGGAGGATTGGGAAGCGGCCTATGACGCTCCAAAACACAGACAATGTTAGAATCCATTTCTGCCAATCCTCCACTGTTGCATCAATACACACAGCCTTTCCTTATCGACAGAGAAAAAGACGTTCTCCTGATTTGACATTTTCGAGAAGTCGGAGTCAGAGTACGGAGCACATGTAAGCTTGTAATTTGATGTAACGATTTTGTAAACACATTTTATAATATATATAATGGAATCTAATGTGTGTAAACAAACTGTTCTTGCCAAGACGGGCCCAAGACCATTCTGACATCTGTTTGTAGCTCCCAAGAGCTACTATCTACATTCTGCAAGCCTACCCTTGTAAAATCATGTAAATAGGCCTACATTCTCAGAGAGATTAGAGGATTCACGGTTTGACAGATAGTGAAGACAGGGCCCGTCAAGGGGAGCAGCCTGGAAATGGACATGCCACGGAGGACATCACACTACACAGACTGTTGTCTCCCTCACTAGATCTAGATCTAGAACAATGAAATTATTTTTAAGAATTATGTAGAGTTAATTATTAACAAAGTCTCCAACACTACACCACCAGATTTTTATTAAACGATGTAACAAAACTACGACATGAAGATCGACATCAACAAAACAGAGACAATGAAAGTTTAGTTCAGAAATCCAAGACCACTCAGGATGCCCATCAACAACAACAGTCTCAGATCAGGTCCAAGAATTTAAGTACCTCGGAAGTATATATGTTCACCAAGGATAGGCGACTGAACAGAAAAATTGAAACATGAGTACAAAAGGCCAATAATGTTACAAAAACTAGATCTAGTTACCAGCTTGTTCCACTACTCAACATCCTAACATCCCGATGACAAGAAAACTAAAAATGATCAACTCCATATATATTAATTCCAACACTCACCTATCCATGCCAAACATGGATCACGGACAAGAAGACATTGGACATTGGAGCAAAGAAGTAACCAAGACCAGGCGAGACAAAATTAGAAACTCGGTAGTCAGAGAAATGGTGGGCACAAATGATGTCATGCATCACATCCAACACCAAAGAATCAAATGGTTCGGACATTTCATGCGATTACCTTACCAACACACCATCCAGCACAACGTTCCTACATTAAAAAAATTCACTGGCACCAAGGCTAAAGGGCGACCAAGTGGATATAGATGGAGTCAGGGAAACACACTAACCACTCATTACATCACCCTGACCCAAGCTCTCCAGCTGGTGGCAGAAAAACGTCTCTTTCTTTCCGCGACACACAAAAGGGTATTTAAAGCGGCGGATAAAAGTTAAAGTTATTATTATATTATAACTAATTCAAGTACCATACCCGAGGCTGCGTGGCATGACTTTGGTCCTTGGAGCCGAAAACAGTTTCATTAACATGCAGACGGTGGTGCCATGCAGCAAAGCAAAGTCTAGCGTGAACAGTGGCCTGGCAGTGTATTTCTACCAGATTACCAATGATGCTCTATGTGAAACTAGTGCATGGTACACCATCTCTTTTTCCTAAGTTAATTATAATATTGACCTCGTCTTTTTATTTCAGTTAGGATAGAGATATTTTTTATTCTCTTTAGCTCGGAATATCGTCATTTCAAAAAGATGGGTTTGAAGGGTCCTTCCATTTTATCAACCCACCCTCCAACTTTATTAAACTACTTCAACCTAGATATCTACAGTCCATCAATATAATATATATTTTTTTTTTCCCAGGAGCTCAGAAGAAAAGGCTAAGAAATTCCAGCGACCAAAAGCGCAATCTACAATTGATGAGCAGGAGATCAGTCATTTTTCTGCGCTTTCTTCATTGTGGTGGGATGAAGGAGGAGAATTTGAAGCCTTGCATTCTCTGAATGAATTAAGAATACCTCTGATACGAGACGCCATGATGTCTCAGAAGACAATCGATCAGTACAGGGCAGACAAACCCCTCGAGGGATTCTGGGTACTAGATGTTGGGAGCGGTGGAGGAATTTTGTCTGAGGTGAGGTTATCATTGAAAGTGTCTTTGGAAGGATATTTATTTATGTATAATAATGTATGAATTGAATATAATGATGTTCAGTACTGATAAAATATAGACTTGAAGGATTGTATTTTTTAGGCTCATCTGTCCTTGATATTTTTAAGTACATGATTTTATTGGCTGTGCCCCGTGGAGAATTTGGTTCGGTTGGGTTTGGCTTCTGATGGCTTCAGTGCACCCTATAAATAGACCAACTGCCCGAACCAATCTCCTAAAACACGGCCTTGAGAACAAACGCGTTTGTTATTGAAAGTCATCGTTGGTTTTGTTGGTTTTGTCTCTCCCGTGGTGAACAACCTGGCTAGCTCCAAACCGACATAACTGAACTGTACCGAGCGGATGATGCTAATTTAATGGACCCCACCTTTTTGGAACACTGGGTTAGAGTTAGCTACAAGGTATATCTTGGTGCTGGTTTAGTTGAAGGTCTACCCATCTACAGTGGTCTACCATAGATAGGTCCCACCCAGCTCAATCGGTAATGTTCTACTACCGTGCTCTAGCGTAGCATAAGTACCGCCTTATTGGCCACGGTAACAGCAGCACGAGGGGCATTTAGACCAGAGGTGGTAACGTTACAGTTGTAGCGTGTGGGTTGGTGGATGGGTGGATTGCTTCATTTTGTGGTGTTGTTTAGATCAAAGAATTTTGGGGTGGTAAAGATTGTGATTGTCCAGTAAGTTGTGACAGTATGTGACCAGACGAGACTATTTTCAAGAAATCGGGGGGGGGTATTGGCCCCCTTCAACGTCAAACTGCTACCACCAAAACATTTTTAATATTGACAAATGAAAGTGTCAGGCCTGTATCTGTTTAGCGGGAATTTGTAAACTGATTCTTGTCACAAGTCCGTGGCCCATTGGACCTTCAACTAAACCAGTTATCAGACCTATCTGGTTGTAGACCATCATTTAAACCAGAAATATTAGACCTTCAACTAAACAGGCACCAATATATAATAATTATAAATTGCATTTATACTATTTTTATCTGAACAAGATGCTCAATGTGCATTACAATAATAGGAAAAGTAGAGACATGCACAGACGAGAAGAGTTTCAGAAAAACATCAACAGAAAAGATTACTCAAAGTTGTCTCACTCACTCTCAGCCCCACAAGATAGTCCGTATGATAAGTTTGGTTTAGTTAGAGTTTTACAGCGCTCTCAATTGCATAAGTCCCTATAATTAGAATTATCTTTTTATCGATATTGGCCTGCTCATGAAAGATGCTTGAATGGCCAGGCCTATTTATATGTCCTTGGGATTTTCTCTGTCTTAAAATATTTTCTCTTTCCTTTCACTTCTACAGAGGTCTCCACCCAAAGCTCTTTGAATTTTGTCTTTCAGAAAAGTAAAATTCCCATTTGTTTGGTTTTGTTTCCAGCCTTTGGCGCGGTTAGGGGCGTCTGTGATTGGAGTGGAAGCCTCAGAGGAGAACATCAAGATTGCACAAGCCCATCTCTTACACGACCCAGCGATTCGAGACAACATCAAGTACATACATACAACAGTAGAGGATATCGCAGAAACGCAGGCTGGAAAATTTGATGCTGTTGTTGCTTCAGAAGTCCTAGAGCATGTAGCAGACGCAAACATGTTTGTGTCTTCCGCTTGTAAGCTTGTTAGGGTGAGTATTATCAGTTGTGAATTTATTAATGATTAGAGCTAATCATCTGAATGATATATAAAGGTTGATCATTTTCTTGAGGGAAATGCTACTTTAATCTCTTATATGTCCTAATGAAATTTTAATGCATTTATTTACCTTTGAAAACGTATATTCCCATGTAAGATCATGCATTGCAGATTCCTTTGCCGCCGTATGAATGATGTGAGGCATCGTTATGAGATCAGGCGCTCGTCAATATAATTAAATTGAAGAAACCTGTTTTTTCCGCCGATTTGGCAATTTTAATAACATTTTTGTTTTTTGGTTCGAAACTTCATCTGTCCATGTAAAAACATTTCTATGAGGATTTTACTGAGAAACGTATTAAAGACACAGAAATTGTAAATTTTCTATTTCCAAGCACTCTTGAGTTGTAGAAATCTCCAAACTTTGACGGCTATTTTGTTGCCAATTTTACCTCTTTCAATTGCAAATCTCGACTTCTATTCAAGATAGATGAGAATTGCTTCCATCAGAAGCAAGACAAATGAACAAGATGATACCAATAACTCCATTCCATTTCCACACAAATTGATGAGCGGTTGATTCCACAGCGTCATGACACACGCAAATTGACTTCCTGACAGAATCAAATTAAAGAGTCCTCTTATTTGTTGGCTAGAAACTGGCAGTATCTATCCGGAGACCTCTCCGACAGAGATAGACCAATCAAAATGCTTTATGCTTCTAGACCAAGTAAAAGAGTCTGGTGGGGTTGTGGAGGGGCATGCTTGTTTTAACCCATAATTTGATATTTTGCAGTTAAGTTTGAAATTTTCTTGAAAATAATTTATTTACAACAGTTTTAGTGGCTATATGTGTGTGATCTGCAGCAGATAATACACTGTTTGACCCCTCCAAAATAGTGCATCAGTGTGCGGGAGTGCGTCTCCAAATAGTTCCTGGGTGCTTGGCGGTGACGTCTCCGAATATCTTCTGCCCTAGAAACTACTGGTTGTCCTCTGCAGACACCTTTGCTTTTGTACAAAATCAAGTTTTATTTCATCTTTGAAAAAAAAATTTGTGAATACTAAACTCAAAGGCAGCATGTACTGTTGTTTTTTAGAAAGGGATTTTTTTGGTCTGCTCCTTGTGTTTTCAAGGATTCCCCTCTATGTAAAATTATATGCATTGTGTCTTGCAATGTATGATGTTATATAATAAACAGGTGGATGTTGAATTGCATTATAGTATATATGCCATATTTATTCCCTCAGCCTGGAGGTTCTGTTTTCTTCACAACGCTGAACAAGACAGCCGTGTCCTACGCGCTGGGTATCGTGGTGGCGGAGCAGATGCTGAAGCTGGTCTCTCCCGGCACACACGACTGGGACAAGTTTATCGCACCGCTCGACCTTCAGTACATGCTGGAAAAAAGTAGGTCCAGTTGTCGTTAGTTTAGCTGTATGCATATCCATGACTGGATGCAAGACTCTGACAGAGACTCTCATAGTCCAGGAGTTAAGTTGTTTGCCTCTCATTCGATTAGTCCCGGGTTCGAAACCTGACAGCGAGGGAAAATTTTATTCTCTAAAATTTTCTCCTTTCACCTCCTTTCCTGCTCTCTAACCATGTTCTGTCGTCTGCTTTCGTCTCCAATTTCTGCCCCCACCCCATCACCTCCTTTTCCCCCTCCTCTGGGCTCCTGACTCTTTCTACTGCTATTCCTTGGCTCCTTCTTACTGCTGTCTTTCAACCACACCCCTGATCTTAGGGAAGGTAGCCTTCTCGAAAAAGGGCAAAAAATCTCAGAGGTCTGGTGAGCAAGTTGTGCACACCAAAGATAAGAGTAGGCTTCAGTCACCACTCGTGCAAAATTCAAATTTAATTCCTACCAAACTGAAAATGGTTAATGTGTCCCCGGGGCTCATTTGACCTTTTGCAGTTGCGAGTGCTGTAAAAAGAAAAAAAAAACTCTTACAAAAAAAACAAAACCCTTACGAAAAAAGAATCAAACAAAAGACTCTGACAAACGCCCTTACACAGTCTGACATTTGTTGTAGTCTTGCTCCCAGCCATCAATTTTCTAGTCAGAGGTGCCAATATTCTGGATAAATCCTCTATTACGGATTTTTGAAAATCGTCCGGATTTTATTTACATGACCGGCCAGCTGTTCAGATGTACTGAGCCCAACATTTGGAAATTTAAAAAAAACCTGCAGTTTCTTAACCCTATCTGTACGCCCTGGGGTCAATTTGTACCTCCGGGGTTGTATTTTTCACATTTGAGAATACTTCTAGTGCGATATCTCTTTGAAACTTTCAGTATTTCTCAAAAAATCATTTTGACAGACTGCTATGCAAAGTGTATGAATAGGAATAACGAGTACATTTCCCCTTTGGAAAGTGGTGGCACAGAGTTCCCCACGTCGTATGGATACGATAGTAAAACATGACGTACGGATGAGGTTAATCTATTTTATCAGTTGCATGTGAGCAAGAAATATTTTGTCGAAATTGGACTTCAAAATGTTGAGAAAAAAAAAAAAGCAACTAAAAATACATAATATAGGCACAATTGTTAAAAAATTTAAGCAATTTTTCTCTCTTTTGATAAATTTTACTTTCTTAGCTGAGTACATTTGAACGGCATATGGATAATATTATTCTACCAGGGTACATTTCGATGGCTGGGTACAAACATTTGGCATTTGTCGGAGTCTTGCGCCCAGCCATTCATTTTTTTGCTGCTTTTTTGTTGGGTTTTTTTTCTCAGTGTCTTTTTTTGTTTTCACTTTTACATAGGAATCAGTGAATGTCAGTTGGAGGAATTTAAAGATGGTTTTATGTGAATAATGTTTTGTTTGTTACTTGCATGCTTTAGCTCATTTGTGTCAACTTGTGCATTTGTCTGTGTAGTCTATTTTTTCCTTGAAGTTTTGCCGTACCAGTAGTTACAGCATTGTTGCTTGGACAGATTACTGGAATTCAAAGGTTTGAGGTTTGACAAAAAATGTTTGTTCCTCTTTGAAAATGGTTTCTCCTTAATTTGAAATAAGGTAAGTCGGAACTCTGGTCATTTAAAAAAAATCTCTTATTTGAAAGGAATGGGTTAACTTATTCTTCTTTAAATACTTGTTTTGAATAGTTACAAGAGAAGTGTGTCTCTCTCTGACTCTTTCTCTCTCTCTTTCTCCCTTTCTCTCACTTTCTCTCTCTCTCTTCCTTTCTGTCTGTCTCTCTCTGTCAGTCTCTCTCTCTCTCTCTTTCTTTCACTCACTCTCTCTCTCTATCTCTCTCTCTCTCTCCCTCCCTCCCTTTCCCTTCCACGCCTCTCTGTCTCTCTCTCTCTTGGTTTTCTAGTGTGGTCTGCTCCGTCACTTTCTGTTTTAGAGTTACCATTGTCCTACCCCATTCCTGGAGAAATGTGGCAGACATTGTACTCACTTGAGCTGCAACTATTGTCAGCAACATGGTGTGAGTTTGGGGGACATCGCTGTTATGACTTTTTTCTTTCTTTTTTTGTCATCTTTCGTATAATTAATGCATGGTTGTGAAAGTTTTTCTTTATGAGGTTGAACTGGTTTTTCTTGTTTCTGTGAAATATTTTCTCTTGTGTGAATTGCTCAATGATCATGTGATTGGTGTAAAACGCTCAGAGCTTATACTAGTATGGGGTAGAGTGCTATTATATATGCAATTTCTTATTATTAGCCTATTATTATTATTATTATTATTATTATTGTTATTGTTATCTATCTGATATTATTTTGATTTTCTCCAACACTAAATCGCATTTATTTTGCGGTTGTAGTAATTTTTCCCCTCATTTACGTTGTATCGTTGAACTATTTCAGACAACTTCTCCACAAGACTGGTCCACGGCATGTGGTACAACCCCTTCAGCAAGAGGTGGTCCTGGTCCAAGGACACGAGCATCAACTACGCCCTCCATGCCGTACGGGCGCCGGCGGTTGAGGCTCTGGAGGAAAATGTTTGGACAACCGAGACAGAATCTGCCTCAGAGCCAGCTCCTCAAAAAGATTAATGTTTGTATTTTTGTCAGAAAATAGGATTTCAGGGCAAGGTTTTTGAAGATGACAAAAATGTTCTATTTCGCTTTGGTTGCCCTTGCAAAAATTTGATTTGCAATGTGGTATGTATAGATTTATAACATACAATATTACATTGTCACTCAAATAAAGATGTATGCTTTCGTTGGCACCAACACCTATGTTTTGTTCATTTTATGGCGTAGAATCAAAAGACAGCTTTATGATATGAGCTGTTTGTCTTTGTACTGTAGAGACTTGACAGAACGTTGAGTTGTGAACTAAGTACAGATGAATTAACGTTTATTTACAAGCACCTTATATACACCTGTGCATATTAACAGTAAAACATTAGTTTAACTGGACTATTTTGCACACAGGTGTTGTGTAACTAAGTCAAGAAAATCTGTAAATTCTCTAAATTATTCTTAAGAGAAAGCGAGTTCTTCCGAAGGATCTGACTGGCTTTTGTTTTTTCTTTTCTTTTCTGCCATTGTCATATTTCCTTTTGTGTCTATTCTGCATGACCTTAAATGTATCTACCACTACCAGATCTGTGGCATACATCGGTGATCATGGTTCTCCATTCATTCCTTTGCTCGGATGCTCTTAAAAAAGCTATGTTTCCCTGATCTTTCCCTGTTACCCATTTGTTTAGGTTCCGTAAGAAGGTTGCTTTGGGCCTACCCCTGCCTCGTTTGCCTTCAATTTTGCCAGTGAGAGCTAGATATTCTAGACTGTTACGTCTCTTTAGGTGTCCCAAACACTAATTTAATAATACCTCTCATAATTTAAGGTTTTATTAATTCCAGCTTAGCTTTTTGACAAGCATGAAGGCGGACATTGAAAACTGACGGGTTATTCATAAGAGAAGAAACCCTTCCATCAGTCAATACAATGGCATTCTTGTGTCCCCTGCTGCCTTGGTTTTTCACTCTGAATGCGAGTGTTTGTGGTGTGTAACAAATTTGTGTGCCTTGAATAAATAAATCAGTCATGCTGAAATACTTAACTGGTGTTTTCTTTTTTTAGTTTTAGTAGGGTTTTATGGCGCTTGCAACAGCGAAAGGTCATATCTCTAGCCTCAACAGCACAAAGTCTGCTTCGACTATCATGGCACCCCGGAAATAGAAGTTCACAAGAGAGTGACAAATATACAAAAGAAGTAAAGAAAAAATGACAATAGTAAGGATGAGGAAAGAAAAAGCAGCAGTTCCCCCGATGTTGTTCCTGGGTGATACACCTCAGACAAAATGAGAACAGTATTCACTTATTTTAGACAAGACCTACTTCAGAGGAAAGTAAAATTCAGGTACGCACACAAAAATGATCAAAGAAAAGAGTAAACAAAACAAATTGTTGTAAAAAGAATGATTTTATTCTATATTAAAATACGTAACAAACTACGGTAAATGTAAATAAAATTTATTTCTATATGATTGGCACAGCATGGAATGTCAACTCTTTGACTGAAAGTACAGGTGTAGATCATTTGCAATGTAAAATCATGGTAACTAGCAACAACAAAAAATGTTCTGAGTATATATATGCACTACATATACCAGTCAGGCATTCAATCAGTGTGTATTTGTAAATCGTAGTGCATGTCGTGTAAATGTAAAATTTTCCTGATTTTGAAGAATTTTAAAGTTTGTTTATAAAGAACTGATCTTTCATTCTGTGAAACTTTGAGTGATGCGATGTCATTGTCCATCTATTCTTATTATCCGCCAGTGGAACTCTTCTAGTTGAAAATGTCCAGGAGTAAAGAGCTCGTTCACCTGACAGATATCGTTTGGCATCTTGGTGACAAATATCAAGCTGTTCGGAAGAGTCTACTTTCTTAGTTGCCTGTTTGACTCATTTTGTAAGATGATGAAGAAAAGACACTTTGGATCTTCTTAATGTTTGTCGAGTGTCAATCAGTAGGCTTATTTTGTAAGTTCTACTTGTACAAATTAAGAATGTGTCATATAAACCAGTCAAGCCTTTTGAAAATAATCTTATACCTTGTGGTACATCAGCCAAGGGCCCCCTGACTTTGAAGAGTTATACCACAGTTAGGACTCACTGTGAACTTTTATACAAAATTAAATATATTTTTCCACTGCTTTGTGAAAACTTGCAACGCTATAAGTTTTTAAAAAAGAAAGAAAAATATGAGATTAAAAAGTATTCTAATGACACTGTGAGGCATTAAGTTAAAAAGAAAGATATGTACATGTTGTGGTAAGGACTGGGACTTGCTTATAAACATTATCACGGGCGAACCACTGGCGTGAGGTGTCTCAAAGCTAGATATGACAATTGTTGTATTTTATACAATACAAAAGACTAAGCAGACCTTGACCAATGTTGTTGGAGTAAGACATGAATTCTAACTATGTTGCCTCCTACTGCAAACTTAAATCTATATTAAGAAAAAGGTGAAAATAAGCAAACTTAAATTTATAAGAAAAAGGGAAAAGAGCAAACATAAATTTATAAGAAAAAGGAGAAAAAGGCAAACTTGAATGAAAAATAATCTTTTAAACATATGTATCTACATGTTTTGTTTAAAAATGTGGGTGTTTTTCACACCCCCATCAACACAATTTAGATCTGTCAGGGCCATCCCAGGCTGAGAGGGATATAAAACATCCCAGCAGAAAAACTGAGACACTCTATAAAAATGTTTCCCCACTTGGGAATCGAACTCGGGTCTCCTACATGCAACAGCGAAGCTCCTAACCATTACACAACAGACCCTGGTGAAAAATAATTAAAAGGAACTGTTTTGCTAGAAGGCTATTGGAGAAAAAAGACAAGGAAAGGGGAATAATTTGATTTTTGAGGATATTGGACCTCTTAATTAACAACTTCGTACACATATATATATATATGCATTAATTATTTTTTGCTTCCAAACCAAACCTTCAACATTAAGTTTTCTCCATCTGTCTCTGCTTACGTCTGTTCCCAGTCAAAAGGATTGTCGATTCTTTTCTGTTTTGTTGTCTTCTCAGGGTGCAGTACATAATGTCATTGTGGTGAAATAAATATTTTAAAAAATACACTGATCTGTGATTTGCAACGTTGATAGATTAATTAAACAGACATATATCACATTCTGCAACAACTTCTTGATGAAAGACCAAAATGAGACAACATGAGCGAGACCAACAGAGAAGCAAAAAACAAGTAATAAATAGTTGCATGAATAGCTACAAAACCAATGTACATGTATGTATTATGAAAGACATTGAATGAGCAAAGAAATTGGATAATCCTTCTCCATAAGTTTTCATAATTAATTAATTAAAATTCACACAGACAAAAAGGATAAAGGCCAGTATATTTATTTGTAAAGCTTATTCAGTTCTTATTTTAGCCCTGATGTGGATTGCCACAAACCTAACGAAATCTTTCATCACAACTATAAAACATAACTTCTGCCCTTCTCCGACCTTTCCCCACTTTTAGTGCATAATATATCTTATTTGAATAGTTCTAGAAAGCCATCGCTTTGAACATGTATAAGTAATTTAAGTATTACGCGTAATGTCAAAATACATAGAACTGTGAAGACTCAGGAAGTCCAGCTTCCATTTCTCTCTCAACTCAAAGACCCACAGAGAAACCCTTAAAGCCTAAAGTCAGGGTATAAACAAAGTGCTGCATCATCCACATTGCCTCTGTCTAGGAAAAGTAAGGTCCAAATAATCAACCGCCCACAATATGAGAGGCATCGTAGTGAAATCGGGCACTCGTCAAAATGGAAATCAAAGAAACCAGCATTCTTCTGGCTGTTGGGCAATTTCTATCGAATTTCTATTTTTTGGCTCAACACCTTTTGTGTCTGTCCATTTAAAAAACAAATTTCTACGTGGATTTTACAGACAAAAAGTTGATCAAAGACACGAAAAAGGTAAATTTTCAAGCTTTGGAAGTCACCAAACTTTGGCTGCCATTTTCTTGCTGATTTGACCACTGAACCCAGGTGACCTCCCCCTCCTTCAATCTCAAATATCTCGACTTTTATTCAAGATAGATGGATGGTTGTTTTTTTTTCATTGAAAGATAAACAAATGAACATGCTTTAAGACGATACCAACAACTTCACACGTCTAAAAACTGACGAGAGCCTGATTCCACCGCATTGTGACACATATTAAGCTCAAGTCATGTACTATACATCCTGGTTTTCAATCAATCCAAAAGACTTCTTTATTTAATATCCTTCCCCAACTCAGGCTGTAATCATTTCTGTGTTATAATTATGAAACTTGTAGGCACATTTATACCAGCTTATGACATGCAGTCTTTGCCTGTTCTAACTTCCAGCTGTCCAAGAAAATAATAATTGATAGTATTTGTATAGCACAAATCACTACAAAACAGCAAGCTCTATGCGCTTCACAATCTATATTATTACCCCAGCAGACCTGAGAGCATTCTGAAACTTCTTGGGAAGCATACAGTGCAAGCAGCCATTTAAAGGTACTAAAACACTAACACTAACATACTGACAAGATCTTTCGCTGTCTATGGCCGGGGACCCATTTCCACCTTGGTGAAGTGAGGAAAATTCGTGTGAAGCGAATTTCCCAAGGACATAACGTCTGGCCCGCGGCTCGAACCCCTGAACCCGCAACCAATTATGAGTCCGGTAGCCTAGCCTTTATCACCTGTACAAATGACCACCTTTCAATCCCCGTTTGTAGGTTTTTCTCTATATTATATTATAATGACCCTGTCTAAGACAAACACTTTTCTCCTCTACAAGGGACGATTATCTTAGACAGGTTTGACTGTGCAAGGAATGCCATGGCGTGTGACTTGATTTTGGCACAAGTTCAATAGGAGTAATCAGATCATCACAGTAGAATGTTGGTGAAATCACAAAACAAAATACAGTATAACACGGAAAGGACGGCTTTGGTAGTTCCAGGGATCAGTAGTTCAAGGGACATCTTACAAAGATAAAGAAAAAGATAAAAAACGGAACCACAGGCACAGTTTGATGGATGCGTGATTTCGAGTATTCTGTGTTCGACAGATTTGTGTTATATACTATATGTGCTTTCTAATACAGTGCAGCCTCTCTATAATGACCTTTGATATAAAAACGACATCCTCTGTATAGCGACATGGTGCCCAGGTCCCTATTTTTTCCTTATATATATCACTAGTAATTTTTGGTTGCCTCTCTATAACGACAACTCTCTATAACGACATTTTTTTCTGGTCCCGACAATGTCGTTATAGAGAGAGAGGCTGCACTGTATGCAATCATGCAAGGTAAGCATGTCCCTACAGCATACTTCCCAACTTTCAAAGTTGTCATGAATTGGCTTCAACAGTGAATTAGTCCACATGTATAAATTATGTACTTATATTATACAATGTAACACAATGTCTATGGCATGGAACCAAGGTAACCTCTCAAATTTCCAAATCCCTCAATCTCTTTTTTTCATTCTCTCACTTTGCTTCATTTTCTCAGGCTCTTTCATACCTGCTCTTTATCAAATCTGGAGTAATTTCTGAGTTTGGCATTTCAGAAAAAAAGTATGGGACATCTATGCAAAAAATGTAAAAGAAAGAATCGGGTAGTTTTATCTTTACTTTCATATTTTTCTACAGACACCTTGCTCCCCCCGCCCCCCCCCCCCCCCCCCCCCCCATCTCCTTTTTTTAAAAGCAGATTTCAAAACTTGACTCAGTCTTCACAGTGAGATCAAGATTGACATAATATTTCTTTTAAGATTTACTTTTGTTTCTGTTTGTTCTACAAATCGCTAACATCATGTTCATGAGAAAAATAAATACCTTCTCGCTTCACAGAGTGAGTACAAAAGTGGAGTGTCTCATTTTACTAGTGAAAGTATTTCAAAGAATACCGCTCATAAAATGTGCAAATGTACCGATATCTGTCCATTCTTTTTAAACATGTGTAGATTGTCAAATACCGGTTTTAGGGTTAAAACTAGAAGTACACATTGCCATTAATTCACGTCATCCGGGAATAATTAATCCTTTAACAACAGTGCAAGAAAACATTATTTTTCATCGTTTAGATTTTACAACTTGAGATCCTTATACTTTCAGATCAGTGATAAAAATATACGAAGTTATGATCAATGTTATGAGATAAAGGGACACACATATAATAATGAATCATAATGGCACAGGGAGTTTAGTACAATAAAACAATATATCCCCAATTCATTTGTTTTTTTTTCTAGAATTAGACAAAGCCACTTAATTCTAGTACAAGCCAAGATGAGTATGTTTGTAATACGAGAGTATTATATATATATATACATGCGGAGTCGGCTTAAACCAAAATTTTTAAAAATCTGGGATTTTATCTTGTTTTGGTCTACCCTTGTTTTTGGAGTAATCCTGTTCAGTCTGAGTGAGCCCCACTGTATACAATATATTCATTTATACGAATACAAATAATTATATATCAAAGTTGTAGTACGTGAAACTGTTTGATATAATATATGTACTGTCAAAATAGTTCAAGACAGCCACCCTGTGTCGAGGGGAAAAGTGGTTGTTTTAATCAGGTTGACGACTTGAACAGTGTCATTGCATTGCAGAAAAACCGCAAGAGAGGATTTTAAGTGGGAAGTGGTAGTTTGTACAGCCAGGTGACTGTCTTCGATGGGTGGCCGTTAGAACAGAAGGATTGACCTACAACGATGTGTGCCTTATATGACACACTTCCACACACAACAAATTTTTTATATATTAAAAAAAAATTAAGAGTAGTAGGACTCATCATCATCCAGTGCCAGATCTTCTACAGACATCGGCGATCATGGTTTACTGATGTAAAAACAAATTAATCCCTTTTTTTCAACATAACATTTTGTATGTAAATCGTTGTAGAAAAAGTCTACCAGATATAAAGCTTTGAACCATCTTTTTGAGCTTAGACATCTATTTGAAAATTTATATATCGGTACATCTAGAAACTTAGTCCTCTCAGAACTACTTTGTCCAAAGTGTACTTAAGTAAAGAGGCGCTTTGGAGAAAATAGTTCTGAGTTGACGACTTGTTCACACCCAAAATGTGAGAATTTAGCTGGGCGAGAAAGTTTCTCTTTCAACATCACAAAAACTAGCACTGCTTTTCTATCCGAATCTTTAGCCATTTACTTATTTAGGCAACCTAAAACATTTTTTAAAAAAGAGCTAAAAAGTAGAAGCTCTTGGTACAAAACTTGATATAGAAAGAGCAATCTATGCTAACATGCGTACATCATTAACTAGATGCAAATCTAAAAAAAGCACCAAAAAATTAAAATAAATAGAAGCACTTAAAGAATCAATTGATAATAAAAATAATGATAATTTTCTAATGTTAGATAGATTAATAAATAAAAAAGTATTCTTTTCTGTGCTAGCAAATCATAATAAATAACTATTGTCAAGCACTTGTAAAGTCAAGGAAGGAGCACAAAAAAATATTATTGTTGATATATATATATATCAGTATAACAAAAGAACACTACTTGTCATGAATTAAAAGAATTAAGTAGCTTCTACAGCCACGAAGCATGGGTATGTCAGTGAAACCTTTACTGTTGGCTATGAAAAAAAGCATGTTAAGGTAAGCACTATATTTGAATTACTTGATTAAACATACAGTGATTTTCACTTAAAACGAATTCTGATAATAAAATTTTGGGATACAAAGTTTCCATCTTGTATCCACTGAAATCAGAGCAAAGACTGTGGTATGATGCTGCTGAGAACTGAAGGGTTTTTATTTTCAGTGTCCCTTTGACAGCAATTTAAGCAAAAATCCACTGCATTTTCAATTATAGTTAGATCTAGCTGCCGATCCCCCTGAAACAACACATAATGATGCCCAGTGTATTCGGAGATTTTAACCTTGTCAAGGAGTGTTGAAGCAAACAATCGTTACACTGCGTTTAAATCATAACACTCGCTACCCGATCTCCTTCTTCTATATAGATAAAACAGAATTATAAAAGGATTATTATAGCGCATATATATATATACCAGCACCTTCAACACGTAATGAAATAAGCATAAATTCTACTGCTTTTTCATTGGTTTGAATATACTGAGGTCAACTGGGCAACATTACTTTTTTATACCTTGACCTGGCCAACACTGGCATTTCTTCTGAAAGGAGTGAAAAGTCCAATATTTATTGCAGGCTTCAAAGCTAAGACCTGATCAGTTCCTATATATATAGGGGGACATAGGTCTCATTTTGACTGACCCAAAGTAGAAAGATAACCAAAAGACAAAACATTAGAAATCTGTAGCATTGGAAGAATATGACAGCATGAAAGTTTCTTCACTGGAAAATAAACATTTTTATAAAAGAGGACATGTGTGTGTGTGTGTGTGTGTGTGTGTGTGTGTGTGTGAGCATGTGTGAGTGTGCATGTGAGTGAGTGTGTGTG